CTCCATTGTCCCGGCTGTTATTACAGCAGGAGGGGAGGAAAGAAGAAAGGAGGAGGGAGGGAGGGAGGAAATAGGAAATAGGAAAGGAGGAAGGAAGGAAGGAAGGAAGGCTGGAAGGGAATAGGAAAGGAGGGAGGGAGGGAGGAAGGGGAGAGAACCTCTCAGCCTCCCTCCTGTGACCCTCGCTCTAATGTTCTGCTTACTTGGAAAGCACCGCTCTGTACATCCCTACTTTCAAAGGGGCTTTCTTTTGCCATTTAGAGAATTTTTTAAATTACATATTTAGACCTTTCGGAATTTCCCACATAACCCCACGGTTGTGAAGCCCTTGACGGTTCACAAAGCACTTTCACAGAAGCGCGCTCTGGCCTCTCGCCCCCTTCTGAGGTAGGTGTCGTGGTCCTCACTGACTGCCATGGGCATGTTATGATGCCGTATCACACACCATCCACATTGTGGACGGGTTCTGAGTCACAGGGAACCTCAGCAGCGTCCCCAAGACTACCCCTCCAGGAAGCCAGAACCGAGAGCCAGTCTCCCGCTCCAGCGCTCAGTCTCCCCATGACCCCGGTGTGCTGGTCGTCTTCCACACAAGAGGCCCTCGCCAAGCCCCGGGTCAGAGATGCGCTCAGAAGACCCGACTCCCCTGCAGGAGCCAGGGGCCACGTGTTCCTCCCACCCACAGCACAGGCCCAGGAGGACGCTGCACCCCAGAGGGAGGGGGCAAACGGAAGCACGACCCCAAGGGAGGAGAGGCGTGCGCTTCATCTCAGGCACACTCTCTCCCTCTCTCCCCCTTCCTCCTTTTCTCCTTTGACATGTGTCTCACTATGTTGTCCATGCTGTCCTCCAACCCCAGGGTTCAAGCAATCCTTCTGCCTCAGCCTCCCCAGTAGCTGGGACTACAACTACCACAGCACATTCTAGTGGCTTTCAAGAGCCGTCCTCCAAGCAGGGCACTAGTCCTTTCATCTGAGCCTCCGAGAGCCCCTTCCTCTTTAGCACTTCCAGCAGGTCGGGGGGGGGCAGGAGAAAATAGTAGGAAATGAGGAAGAGGAAGGAAAAGAGAAATAAGAGTCTCAAACCGAAGAAGGAAAGAAGGGGATAGAAGCTCAAGCTGATAATAACGAAGGAGAGAAACCGTGAGCCCTGCTTGGCCATGCTGGCCTTTCTCTCTCCCACGCATCTATCTTACGCGGCGACTAACATCTAGCTTAGTTGGTCACATAATTTATGGAGCCTAAATATATTAGTCAGACGCTCTCAGCGGAAGCTAGGCGACACCACTATTGGCTGTGAGCACCTCCCCACACTTGTGTGGAGTGTGCGGTTGCAGAACTGTGCCAGGTGCTTTGACCTAGTCACTGACTGGATCCTTGACGAGTCCGGGAAGTAGGATGTGACACCCTCCCGCTTTGCCAAAGAGGAGCAGGCGTAGGGAAGCGATACAATTCCTCCAAGTCACACAGAGACCAGCGCCAGGCCTGGAAACGAACCCAGATCTGTCTGAATCAGACTTGACTCTCGGGGTCTACACTGGGCTCCCACACCGCCTTCCCCGCCCAGAAGTCTGCACTAAGTCTCCAGGCGCAAACACTGTAAAGACGGGCTTAGGTTACAGTGTCGGGTGTTATGCGGAGTGGTTTTGGAGAATTTTTCAGGAGGATGAGAAGGAGAAGTTGGTGATAACGTTGTGCAATGCCCCTCTCTTCCTGTGCGCCACTGACTCTAGCAGCAGTGGCGTGCGATCATGCATTTCCCATAAAACGAATCATTCAAAAATAAACTCACCCATCCGGCATGGTGGCATGTGCCTGTCATCCAGCACTCTGAGAGGCTGAGGCAGGAGGACTGCAAGTGTGAGTCCAGCCTCGGCAACTTAGCAACTTAGCAAGACTTGGTTTCAAAATGAAAATAAATACCAAACTACTAACGTGCAGAACTATCACTTTGCCACAGCTGTGTACACTGATGCTGAATTAGCAGAATCAGTGTCTCCAGTGAGCTACACAGCCCTGTGACTGCTTGGACCCAAGGTCTCGAAGCCTGACTCTGGCCCCACCGAGCCTCGAGCCTCAGCTGGGAGGAGCCTGAAACCCACAGGACAGGAAGGATGAGTGTGTGTGCTGCAGGGCGAGCGCTCACATCCCCACACCGGCCACGCCACGCTCACCCCGGGACTCCCCGCAGGAGACTGCAGTCTGGACAGGGCAGGAGACCACTTCACGCCCCCACTCCTCCTGTGTTCTAGGTGACTGAGAACGAAGTGGGTTCTAATAAGGCGCATCATTAGGCAAGAAGTTCCTCAAAGGGAAGTGGCACAAAGTAGAAGGTTAATACATCTGTTTCCCCTTTTTACGGCGGTACTGGAGACCAAACTCAGGGCCTTAGCGCTGAGCTACATCCATCTGCAGCACTTTTTATTTTTTATTTTTGAGAAGAGTCTTCACTATGTTTCCCAGGGTGGCTTTGAACTTGAGATTCTCCTGCCTCAGCCTCCCAAGGAGCTTGGATTATAGGCATGGATACCTGGCTTGCATCAGACTTTTTTTGTATCGAAATATTCATAACAACTGAAGACAGCTATAGTTTTGAAAGATAATCAACAAGCTAGAAGAAATCTGCTATATACAGAAATAATTTTTATCCACAGTATTCAAAGAATCCTTATAAATCAATAAGAAAAAACCAAAATGATGCAAAAATGGGCAAAAGCTATGAACAGGTAATTCCCTAAATAAGCATTACAAGTGCTTAAAAATCAGATGAAAAGATATTCAATATGGAAAGATGTATAACCCTGCTACTAGTATTGAAGGAAACAAGAATCAGTACAAGATAAACAACAAGTTGGAGAAATTACAAAAGATTGCTGCAACCTGATACAGACTTTTCCTGTTTAACGATTATTCGGATTTACGGCGCATCTTTTCCTTTGTACAGTGCTGTACCTGTGTTTATAGGGCTTCAATGCCTTATCTGTGTACAGTACACCTTCTTTATACCAGACTGTAACTTCTGCTGATTGTACTGCACAGTACAGTACTGTGGTTTTATATTCTGTTATACCTCACAGTACTGCATGTAAGAGTTATGCAAATGAAAGCAAAGCCATCACGCTGGAGTTTCCCAGACCAGTTCTTTGCTCTGAATATTATAATGTACTATGTACAAGTCCTCACTTAGCGACCAGTTCATCAACAAGGGAGCTGCAGGTGCTGAGCTCAGTGGTTAAGTGAGAAGGGTCTCCATTAGCCCACTGGCGGCGCAGCAGCGGGAGATGTTGGCTGCTCTAACAAGCTGCTGAGGCAGCGTGACTCGGTGGGGCCAGGCTGGAGGACAAGGGTCCCGAAGACACACGCCATGACCCAACAGTCCTGTGATCCAACATCTGCCCCAGAAAAGACGCACGCGCACATGTGCACACACAAGGGAGGGTTGCGCGGAGACAGTTTGTGATCGCAAAGTCTGGAAATCACCTAAACACCCATCAGCTAGAAAGGCTGCTATTCCATGGCATTTACACAAAACAGAAGGCGTGACGGACTCAAGAGACTCTTTTAAGTGGCTTTGATTGAAAAAGAAGTTGCAAAATAAGTACCATGTACTGCTTTTACAAATAAATAAATTCTTAACAAAGTACTACAGGGCTGAAGACGTAGTTCAGGGGCAGAGTGCGTGCTTAGCAAAAGGTTCTAGGTTCAACACCCGCACCCTACACACACAAAAGGAGGAAAATCTGTTAGCTGGGACTGGTGGCATGGCCCTGTATTCCCAGCTACCCTAGAAGCTGAAGCAGGAGGATCACTCGAGCCCAGCAGCTTGAGACCTTGCAGAATAGCAGAACCTGTGTCACAAAGAAGAAAACATAAAGCGCTACACTTCTGCGAGTTTTCTTTGGAGATTCAGTCAGCATGTTTCTTTTTTCTTTTTTTTTTTTGGTCTTTTTTGAGACAGTCTCACCATGAAGTTCAGGCTGGCCTGGAACTCACAACAATCCTCCTGCCTCAAGCCTCCCGAATGCTGGGATTACAGGTGTGCGCCACCATGCCGGGCTTCAGTCAGCATGTTTTGCACGCAAAATGACAAGTAACAACTTGGGAGAAGTGAGAGCTAGCTAGAGCTAAGTGGGGCAGAAAGGAAAGCACATACTGGGGCAGAAAGGAAAGCACATACACCAGCTCCAGCTCTGAACTTCTTCCACTGCCAGCCCAACAGAGGCCCCTTCACATTTTTGGCTTTTTGAGGCATTGATAATAAACTGAATTTGTATTTAAAATTTCTTTTTTAAAAGGCTCCTGTTAGTGACACAGTACATTGTTTTGTGGTTTTTGTTAATCAATAGGCTTTTTTTTTATGTCTTTTTAAGACAGAGTCTCACTATGCAGTTCAGGCTGGCCTTGAGCTCACTTTGTTGCCAAGGCTGATCTCAAACTCGCAACAATCCTCCTGTCTCAGCCTCCCGAGTGCTAGGAGTACAGACATGCAGCACCACATCTGGCTAATGAACAAGCTTTAACAGCCCAGAATTTGTTATTACAGGAAAGCTGAAAGAAAAAATCAGCCTGCAAGTAATGAACCTGCAAAAAAAAATACACCCACATTTTGCAGCGTAATAAATACCTACGCGGAACAGCGTCTAATACCAACTCGGTCTGTCCTAATCCGCATCATCATGCCAGACTGCGCAGCTCAGCGCTCAGCAGCTGCCCTGACCTGCTCCAGGGAGCTGCTTCGTGGGTTCCCAGACCTCACGGCAGCAGTTCACAGTGCTGGGAAGAAAAGCTGGCAACAGGAACGTTTGCCAGCTCCTACGATCAAGGATTCATTGCAGAGGAGCCAGAAAGGAGGTTTTAAATTTTCAGACAAACCAAAGAAAATAAAATGCTTAAGTAAGTGTCTTATCCCCGTTTGACTTGGCAAGGAAACTCTCAATTCCTATTTCACGTTAAAAAATAGAGGAAAGGAGGAAAGACGAGGACAGTGTCCAGGCCACATACCCAGCCTCCGTTCTGCCGGATCCAGTCTCCCGTGTGGTTCACTACGAACTCAGCCACAAAGTGAGAAATCTCCCTGTAAGTGTCCACATCTGGGGCCAGCGGCTCTCGCGGAAGTTTCTTGAGGATGACTCCCCCAAAAGCAAATATGGTCACAATCCGCCCCCAGTTAATGATGCCGTCCTCGAACTCCTTCTCCATCACCTGGGTGAATATCGCCCTGGCAGCGTTGACGGACGCCACATCGCATCTGTCCAACCACGGCTTCAGGCTCTCCTCCACTTCTTTCTGCACTGAGAAAGCCACACCCTGTAGCACTCTGGACGTCCTGCTGGGGCTGGCCCCGCACTGCGGCACCTGCAGGACGTGCAGCAGGTACTCCTGGGCCAGAGTTTGCGTGTACCTGAACTCCTGGTCAATCATCTTGGGCTGGGGAGGGCAGCCTGGAGCCGGCTTGCCCGGGGCCTGTGCGGGCAGACTGAGGCTGCCGGCAGTAGAGCTGAGCAGGATGTGACCCATGGTGATAGCCTGACCGGTGGATTTTCTGTTTGCATCATGGTTCAGGATCCTTCCACCCACGTTGTTACGTAGGCTGCATGTGAAAGAGAAAGTTTACAATGTGAAAGAGGAAAAAATGCTTCAGAGGTCACTTCCTCATCCTGTGATCAACGCAGGTTGAAAGTCGTAAATGCAAGGATGGGAGGAATCGGGATCCTCACACACTGCAGGTGGGAATGTAAAGCGGTGCCACTCCTGACAAAAAGTTCCAGACGGAATTACCGCACCCTGGCCGGTCCGTTCGTAAGCCCTGAAGGGGCGCAGATGTGCCCTCCGAAGTGGACCACGTTGGCAGACGGTGGTTTCAAGCTGAAATCCCTGGGGAACTGCCTGCAGTGTGCCTGAGTAAACAAGCTCTGAAGTCGCCTTAACTTCCAGGAGCTTCTAACACCCACCCCCGTTATCTCTCAGGGACACCCTTAGATTTACTACCCTGGTCCCGATACCATTTGTCCTGCACAGATTTATTACTCTTTTTCTACAAAATATAAAAGCATCTTGCCTTGTTCGTTTATTTGGACTTCCATCTTTTTATTTTTTTAAAAAAAGTTTTTTGAAACAGGGCTTGCCAGGCAGTTCAGGCTGGCCTTGAAATCCCAGTGATCCTTCTGACTCAGCCTCCATAGTGCTGGGATTACAGGCGTGCACCACCACACCCAACATGACTTCACTCTTAGAAAAAGCCCTATGTATGTGTAAAATCAACACAACTTTTTTTTAAATCTTTTTTTGAGACGGGGTCTCACACTACACAGTTCAGGCTGGTCTTGAGCTCACTTTGTAGCCCAGGCTGACCTCAAACTCAAAACACTCCTCCTGCCTCAGCCTCCCAAGGGCTGGGATTACAGGCGTGCGTCACCACGCTCAGTATCAACTCAACTTTTCTGTGTTTCTCTTGTTAATCAGGTCTTGTCTTAATTGTGTTCCGTGACCCAATTAAAGCTCACATAAGGATGAAGGGGAAGTAGAAGGGGGTGTCTCTCCTCCCTCCAGCATATCCCAAGAAGTGAAGACAGAAACTCAGAGACTTACACACAAAGTGCCATTGAGTTGTTCACTTTAAAGTGGTAATTTTATTTTATTTTTTGTGGGGTTTTTTTTGGCTCTTTTGAGATAAGGTCTCACTATGTAGCCCAGGCTTGCCTTGAACTCATGGCGATCCTCCTGCCTCAGCCTCCTGAGCTCAGGATTACAGGTGTTCACCACCACACTAGGCTCTAAAATGGTAATTGTATGTTAGTGAATTTCACCTTCCAAAAAAGGTCTTTGGTACAGCAGAGGAGTAGAGGATAAGCCACACTAATGGAAAACTGGAATGGAGACTGGAAGAGCGTGGGGCCCCTCAAAGGTTGGGGTTGAAAACACCTCCTACTTACTCCGGAATTCCTGACAGAAAACAAAGTCAGACCTCAAGCCTTAATTCATATTCTTCAATCAGGTAAACTGTCCAATGTATGGATCAAATATCTGTGGGACTGGAAAGAGCACTGGCCTTCGAGTGGGAGGCCCTGAGAGGGTCCCAGCCGAATCTGTCTTCCTGCTCACTCTGGGCCTGCGCCAGGCTCCCCTGATAGGTGATCTACACTGACCTCCAAAATGAGTTGAAATGAAGAGACGATCAATCGCCACGTCTCCAGGAACGCAGACGCTCAGGCAGAGCTAGCTCCCCAATGTGTTTTTACTGACTAATGAGGAATCTGGCTCCGGGTCCTGCTTTACCCAGTAAGAGCGTCAGTTCCTAAGTGCGCAGCTTAAGTGAACAGTAGATCTGTCGTTTTATCTCTCCTTGGCAGCGGTTCTGAGCAGTGCCTGGCAGAGATAGCGAAGAGTGGCTCAGGGGACTGTTGGGGACTTCGGGCAGGTTTGGAGTCTCCTCCCCTGAGTACACAGCAATTACCGCAGCTTCCAAGTCCTCGGGGGAGGTGGGGATCCATTTCCCGCCTGGAAGCTGCGCTATGAAGAGGCAGTGGCTGGAGGGGAGGATTCGCAGTCCCTGGAAAATTCAGACTTACTTTCTCCCCTGCTACCCCTAGCTGGAGTGACTTTGATTCTTTGCATCACTGTGTATGAACAACTGCAAACGGAAAAAAAATTAATATACAACTTGTATTTCCTGTCGCCAGAGGTTTAAGGAGGAAGGGAGAGGGTGTTTCTGTCGCTCCCCTTCAGCTCTACCCCTGAGGATGTGCCGAGGCCATGCGCCCCACCGACCAGTCCCAGCCGGCGACAGCGGGGCAGGAACACTAAGACCGTCCTACAAGCCAACCTCCCTTACAAATGACTGCTTCAGGGGCCCTGTGCTTGTAGAAACCTTTGGGCTCTGCACAGCCCTGGAAGGCTCTCCCCGCCTGCCTTCCCTGTCCGTCACACGGTCAGTCTGCACAGCATAGCCTCTGACAGCTCCCCGCCTCGCCTTCCTCCAACTCTTACCTCTCACATACCTACCTACCTCCCGGTCATTCACTTCCGGGAGTACCCAGATCGACTTCCGGGAGTGCCCAGATCAGCGCAGTATCCACAAGGAAGAACGGGCTTACAGGTCTGTGGCAGTCTACGTCTGAGTTCCCATGGGAAAGTCCTCCCAGACTGCACCTCTCTGTCTGCAGGCTGCTCCCCACCTCGATCCCTCGGCATCATAAAAACCACCAAGTAGATGGGACAATTGGGCTTTCTTTCCCTGTTACGTTCACATGATGCTGAGCATTCATGAAAAAATAGAAGCCCATGGCTTAAGGGTTGCAGTTCAGTCTTCCAAGGTGGGGGACTATCTTTTTTCTCTCTCCACCCAGTCAGTGCTCCAGCTTGGACCCCAGGAAGGCAAGCAGTTGATCTTTGCTGAATACATAAAATGTGCGTATATCCATCCAGGTCCAACTATATTTAGGGCTTCATATTTCTGATCTGAATCTGAGAAGGAGTTGCTTTAAAAATTCTCAAATATTGTGGTTTGTGTTAATGTACTTTGGGAAGTTTCCAAATAACTGCTTTTCAAAGGTAGGTGGGAGAGAGAGAAAGACAAAGTCTCCCCACCCACAAAAAACCCAAGTAATTATTTTATTATATAAAGTGCAAAGGGCTGGGGTGGAGGGTAGAGGGGGTGTGGGGCTCGGGGCCAATAGCTGACCTGGGGAGTGTGAGGCGCGGGTGTGTCCTTCCTCCAGGCCTCTCAGTCCGTCTGGGCTCTTGCAGGCTGTAAGAGCTGGTTCCCGTGCTCTGCACTGCTCAGTCTATAAGTAGAATTTCGCCTGAAATTGAGTACACCCTAAATCCACGTTGAGCAGGCTGACCACGTTGGCGGGACCTGGAAGCCGTCTGTGTGTCCATTATTCCACACACAGCTGGGGATTTAGCTCAGCGGCACAGCGCCTGCCTGGCAAGCACAAGGTCGTGAGTTCGATTCCCGGTACCAGAAAAAAAAATATGACAATTCCATAAACAGTGCACTAAGGCGCTACTGTGTACTGTCCCGGCACTGCATGGGGTGCTGGAGAGAAAAATGCTCGTGCTGGGGATGTAACTCAGTGGTAAGGCACTTGCCTAGCACACATGAAGCTCTAGGTTTGATTCCAAACCCTGAAGAAAAGAATTATTTCCCTCAAAAGAATGTTCAGTCTGGAAGAAATTTTACAATATTGTAGACAGTCCAAGGATCTGCAGAAGGGAATAACTAAAAGAGATTACTGTAATAGCTTCAAATGTAGAGACATTCCCTGATTCCACACCAAGGCCTGAGCACAGTTTGAGACCATGGAACGGTTCTGAGGTTCTGGGAAATGCACACGTGACCCTGCTGTGTTGTGTGCCAAGGGGGCAGGTTGAAAATGATTTCTCCTGTCTGTCCACACTCAGTATGGGAGGCTGGGGACATGTCTCAGGGGCAGAGCACATACTTCACAGGCCCTGGGTCCAGTTTCTATACACACATGCACACACACATACACACACACACATGCAAGCGCCTATGGGCTGGCCAAGGTTTGCTACGTGCTTGTTTTGTCCAGAAGTTTACACTCCAAGGATGAAGTCAGGAAGTCCTGGTGAGTGTCTGTTATGGAATAATGGGAGGAAGAGTTTGTATCAGCCTAATAGTGATTAGGAATTTCTTCCACTTCTAATGTGCTTTGTATTCATCATCATGACGACTATTACATGATCAAAATATACAGTGCACACTGCTGCTGAGTACCATCCAGTGAAAAGGCAAGGATTTTAAGCCAGGCATGGTAGTGCGCACCTGGAATCCCAGCACTCGGGAGGCTGAGGCAGGAAGATCATTGCAAGTTCAGGATGAGCCTAAGCTACAAAGTGAGTTCAAGGACAACCTGAACTGCATAGTGAGACCCTGTCTCAAAAAAGACAAAAAAAAAAAAAAAAAAGCAGGGATCTTAATACAGAAGCAGTGCATGGAACCCTAGCAGTGACGTGGGGCAAGTTCCACCTGTCCAGCATGGTCAGTCAGGTGTGAGCTGCAGGGGGGAGAAGGTGTGTTTTAAAGTGTGCTGTAAATCAAAACAATGCATTGACTTGAGATTCTGTCAATTTCACTGCAGAGGTGAGATTATACTACTTCAGATCCCAGCTTTTTAAGAAATGTCATCAAGGGAGCTGAAACTTAGGCCTGTGGTTATTTATGATCTTGAGACCAAGCATCAGCATTCTCAATGCAAACCACTCAGTTCTCCTCACGTGAGAAAAGCACATCAAGATGATCCAACATCAAGGTCATGGTGATTGTGGTTTTTTGACCTTGATGAAATTATGCAAGCTGAGTTTGTACCCAGGAGCACCATGGTGAACTCTGAATACTGCAAGGGCTCATTAGAACATTTAAGAAATCATGTACATGGAAAATGGTCTTCGAAATAGGCAAGTCGTTTCATCCTCCCACATGACAATGCTTCCTGTCACACACCACTTCTGGTAAAGCAACTCTGTCAAGCAAAAACATCACACTGTGTCATCACCTACTTTGCTCCCTGGACCTAGCACTGTGCAACTTCTGACACTTCCCCAAAGTCAAAATGGTCAAGAA